CCCTATAACACTGTTGATTATTCCGTTTTATATGAATTCCATGTTGTACGAGTCACTTAGATTTTACAAATACGTGAGCCATTCACAGTCCGGCACACGTATTTGTAAAATGTAAGTGACTCGTACATCATGGAATTCATATAAAACGGAATAATCAACAGTGTTATAGGAGGATCGACTGTATTGTAATTATTATCATAAACTTACTTTTTGTCCATCTAAACCGGGTTCTCCTACGGGACCGGGTGGTCCAGGTGGTCCCTGAATATAATTAATTAATTAAAACAAAATTTCTTAAATTCAATTTCTAAAATAATAATAAAAAAAACAATACTGACAGGTTCTCCTGCTCTAGCCACATCACCAGGTCGTCCAGGTTCTCCTTGATCGCCCTGAAATGTATATTTTACAATTAAGTAAATCTTTTCATATAAATCAAACTACCTTATCTTGGTTTAGTTTTTTTTAGTATTATTATTTTATAAACTTTAACAATATAACTAATTATTCAAAAAGAGAGACATGTTGTCATAAAATTAAGATAAAAACCTGATCTGGTCAAAGTTTAATCTATTCATTATAAAATACACGTTGATTCCTATCTTGTATTTCATAACTTCTTCGGATAATTTTTTGATTTGAATCCAAAATTTCTTGAATTTTTATCCTTTATAAACAGGTTTTTGTACTGTTTAAATTAATCACATTTAAAAACATTACAGATATCTTTCCATTTTTTTTTAATGTTATAAATATAATATAAATTCCTGTTTTATTCCTCTTTTTACTTACAAATAAGAATATAAAATATAATAGAATACACCTTCGTTTTGAACATTTTATCCGAAATATTTGTTAAAATATTATACAAAATTATAAATTTCTGTTAACAAAATACTTGTATATTATACTTAGATCGATCTAAAGTGTATAAATAATATAAATAAATATAGCTATTTAAATTATTGTAGTTAAATTAAATAATCAACATTATCTAATGTTATCAATTGTCTACTAGAAATAGTAAGGTTATAATACTTATATTATCAACAATATATCTTCATTATAATATTAAATTATTATAATAATTAAAAATTTAATATCATTCTTTGCTCTTTAAATACATTTTATTAAATAGGACGTTTTGCTTATTTATTAAATAGTCACAGTATTACTTTAAAAAGAATATTAATTTAATTAATTACCTTTTCTCCTTTATGTCCGGGTCTTCCCGGAACTCCTTCTACCCCAGGAGGTCCCTAGAATTATGAAATCTATATATAAAATTATACGTATTTTTGATTATAAAAAATAAATTCAATTTTTAAATTCGTTAAATTACTTACTGGTAAACCAATAAGACCGGAATCTCCTCTAATTCCTGGTGCACCAGTAAAACCCTACAATCATAATATAATCTTTAAATTGCCTTCTTTTCTAACTGTAATTTTATATTATTTTTAGCAATATATAGACAATAGACTATAAATTATTTTAAAAATGAACAATGGACGACGTAATAAAAATCATATTTAAAATAAATTATTGTTGTTAAAATAGAAAAATAAAATTAAAAAAAATTAACGACTTACTCTTTCACCTTTTAATCCAGGTTCTCCTGATCTTCCTGGTTCACCTCTATCTCCCTATATATATAAATACATTAAAATTATTTAAATAATGAAGAAAATTTAATTATTAAATACATATATCTTACCTTAAGACCGTCTAAACCAGGTGTACCTGGATCACCTCTCTCTCCTTTTTCACCCTAAAAAAAATTTGTTCAATATTAAATTCCTTAACTTTAAAATCTTAAAACGATTAATTTAATTAAAATATTACTAACTTTAGAACCAATTAATCCTGGAAAACCTTGATCTCCTCTTACACCTTTCTCTCCCTAAAAATAAAATTAAAAAAATGGCGCCTGTAAATATGTTTACACTGCCTTACACGAGGCTTTGATAAGAAAGTAACCCGCAATATTCCTTCATACTTTTGGACCGTGAGGACCTCTCTGTCCTGTTTCTCCTGGTGGACCTGGAGGACCCTAAAAATGAATACATCTCTCACATAAATAATACGTTATTTATGTTTTTTTTTAAATATAATAATAATAATAGAATGTTAAAATCATTTACTGGAATAGCAGTAGGAACCGAAGTAGTCCCGGGAATGCCATCTCTTCCTGGTAATCCCTAAATAAATATTCCAAATTTTAGAATTATAAAAAGAAATTGTTCGTATGTATTTATTGTTACTATTAATAATTAAATTAATATTAATTATATAACTTACTGGAGGTCCAGGTGGTCCTGGTTTTCCTGGACTACCAGGAAATCCTGTTTCTCCCTAAAAGAAATTAAAACATATAATAAAATATCTCAAAAAGTAATTTTATAATTAACATTATGCATTGATTAAAGTATTGATAATTACTATTAATCCCCTTTTTCCTGGTATTCCTGGTTCTCCTGATGATCCTGTTTCTCCCTAATAAAATAATAATAATAAATAAATCAATTATAATTATAAAGAAATTAAATAAGAAAAAAAAAAGGATATTAATATTGTTTTACTTTTTTTCCAGGAAGTCCTGGAGGTCCTGGTAATCCTTGTAATCCTTGTTCTCCCTAAAACGAATCTACTTAATTAAAATATAATGAATTAATTAATTTCAAAAATCTCTACTTACTGGAGGACCAGGAATTCCTGGTTCTCCTGGAGGTCCTACAACACCTTCTAACTATTAAAATTATTTTTTAAATTATTTGAACTTTAATAAAGGCTTTTAATATTGATTTTAAAATATTTTACTTACATCACCGGGTAACCCAGGTGGACCTCTCGGTCCCATAATACCTGGTAGACCCTAAAATATATATGTTTTAAAATATTTAATTAATTTTATTTTAAAAATAAATCGAACACAAATCGAATACTAACTGGTACTCCTGGTTCTCCGGATTCTCCAGCATCACCTTTTTCGCCTTTCGAACCCTTTAAGTTATAAGTATTAATATAATTCCTATTATATGTACTTTAATATGGCAAATAAAACATTTTAATATATAAATAAATTAATTTGTAAGCTTTATAGATTCTCTTTCCTTACCGATGGTCCCGAAATACCAGGTAATCCTCGTTCTCCTTTCGGTCCAGGCAGACCCTAAATAAAAATAAAAATTTAGTAACTTTCCCATAATTAAATATAATATTATCATGTACTAACCTCACGTCCTGGTGGTCCAATAGGTCCAGGAGGTCCAATAGGTCCAGGTAATCCCTGAAATAAAAGTAAAAAAATTCAAATTTCTACAAAAATTTTAATTTATAATATCATTAATACTTCTTACTGGTGCTCCGGGTACTCCTGAAATTCCTGTAGGGCCTTGAGGACCAGGTAATCCCGCTAAACCCGGTTCACCAGGTGGTCCAGGAAATCCTTGAGGTCCTATTAATCCCTTATATAATAATGAATATTAAGAATTATTATTTATAGCATTACAATGGATTAAATGGAATTTCAGAACTTAACAAAATTATACATCGGTTCCATTGATTCCAGGAGGTCCAGGAGGGCAAATCTGACATTCTGGTCTCGAAGGTTTTTTAGGCTAAAAGAAAATATTAATTACTCGTAAGAGATTAGAACTTTGACTTAGAATTAAATACAGAACTAATACTAACTGGTAATTCTGAACACGATTCTCTTTCCGAACGAGTTGGATCACAACTCATAACCATCCATTGAAGATCCAGCTATGCAGTAAAGCTTGATTATATTAGCAAATGATTATAAACATACTCAATTCTTACATAAAAATGATAAACTTACCGGAACAGTTTCATTACTTCCTTCGTATTTAGCAATTGTTATATCTCCATTTATGTCAACGGGTCCTCTTTGTTCGGCGTATAAAGTAGTTTGCTTTTCACAATCCAAATATAGAGTGACTTTATCATGCTGTACACTTAAATCGATTTTATGCCATTGGTTATCTTCGATCTGTAAAAAAAAAGGCTTTAATTTGTACTTAAGAAACACTTCAACTTAATTAACTCTTGTAGACTATAATGGAAGATTAGATAATTAAGAATTACAGGAGGGGTTGGATTGTTTGTACAGGTGTTTGGCTACTAGGTATACTTAGATGAGCCCGACGAAGAGTTCATCTGATAAAGGAGACCTCTCGGCCTCGGGCTTAATACGTGCAAGCGAAAGGAGAATTAAAAAACGAGTAATTGTCTTCATCATCAGCCATTAGAAAGAAGCGTTGAAAGTTACTATCAGATAAGATTTTACCAATAGAAAAAAAAAAGGTACATAATGATATCATGAAAATCATTAAATTAAAAAATCATAAAAGTATTTACAAAATAACGAAAGAAAGAAATTGTTCAGATACTTTTAATAATAACAGTAGACAGAAATAATATACTGTCACTATCCATAGTTGTATATCACTAAGAAACGTCTGTATGCCGGTGACTACTTTGACACGGTGCATACATCATACGAATGATAAGTAACCTTTGACTCTAAATAAGACAGTTGTAGCTTCCGTCAAAAGGTCGAAAAAATGTAGGTTTTGACTACTTCCTCATAAATTTTCCAACCATAGAACTTGATTTTTGAATTAATATAAAATAAATTAGATTTGTTTTTGTTTTACATCATTTTTTTTTTTTTATTAAAAATCTAGGCCATTTTTACGTTTTGTCATTTTAAAATCGATTTATATAGGAATTTCTTCCAACTGCATTCATTCAATATGTTTTAGGCACATGGAAACATTGCGGATATCGGTCCTGGATCTTTCCATATGGTTGCTATCATTAGATTGTCGTCGATGACATAGTGATGGAATTCCCGGACGTTGTTGTTCTACCAGATGGAGACACGTGACAATAGAGGAAAAATTTGTCGTCACTCTATCCTGTCATTTGTCAACCATCCGAGCGTGACGTCCTCGTAAATAGGACTCATTATCAATTTTATTGATATTAAGACGAAAATACTATTTCCGGATTACTAAAAAAAAAAATAGTATATAACCTTAGTAAATATGTTAACTTTTTAATGGAAGTATGATGATAATTTATGGAATTATATAACATTTTGATCTTTTTCTATCCGACACTTCCTAATTATACAAGGATACAACATCTTGTAAATTAGTAGAAAATGAATTGAGTAAAAGAGATTACCGAACAAAAATGTTCTGACGTTAAGTCTAAAAGGCAACGTCTTTACTTGTCAAGTTTAACCACCAGGAGGGACGAAAGAACAGAGGAAGGAGATACACCTCCGGTGATTTATTACCAGGAGTGGGAACGAGATAAAGAAAAAAAAAAAAAAAAAAAAACAAGTGCAAAAGTCGTTTAGGGTACGTGGGGGCGAGAAAAAAAATATTAAGCCAACGGTTTTTGTCCATATTTGTTCGTCTGAAGAAGCAATCGGCAAGGTCGAAAGTTCGCGTGATTTATGCCTTCTTATTGTTGACCCAGTTTTACCCAATTAGTTATGTTTCTGTTCGTTGTTTACGCAAAAAAAGTAGTGTTTTTATTACAATACATTTTGGAATTTTACTCGGGGTGACTGAGAGACGTAAACAAATTACATTTTCTAGAAATCGAAAAAGTTTCAGTAATTAGAAAATGTCTTTAAAAAAATAATAATAATAAAAATAACCACAACGAATCAATTAGCCTACTTGATCCTAATGGCAATGAAACTAAATATCGCTCACGAGACAATTTATATTTGGCTTTTCCAAGGGCAATTTAGTACAATTTTCTTTATCGATGACCATCAACCAATAATTACTTCATAGTAATTCTACCAGTTTTCACATGTTTTCTCTACACGATTCGAATCTTTAATTTTAATTCTATTCATATAGCCTATATATATATATATATATATATTAACGGCGTGGTGTATTTAATTATATATTTTACATTATGACCTATATATTAAAAGTACTAGTTTTATATAAGTTAAGATTAATTATATTTCTCGCAATTTCTTGTCTATTCAATAAGAAAATACGTGCCAAATATCCATGGTTAATACAGTCGACCCCCCCCTATAACACTGTTGATTATTCCGTTTTATATGAATTCCATGTTGTACGAGTCACTTAGATTTTACAAATACGTGAGCCGTTCACAGCCTGGCACACGTATTTGTAAAATCTAAGTGACTCGTACAACATGGAATTCATATAAAACGAAATAATCAATAGTGTTATAGGGGGGTGTACTAGAAGAATTTTTCGTAATTCGCTCTATTTCTATGACTAAATTCGTACGGGGGAAAGAAAAAAATATATATGAGAATAAAGTTAATATATAAATAAATAAATAAATAAAATGAATGCCTGACAAGACATTTTTGATTGACTTATGAATATTTGACCCTGGAGTGTCTTTTCTTCAGTTGAGACGTTCGAATGGCTGAGTATGATGAACAATGTTTCATTTTAAAGCAGCTGGGAAGCATACTGTAACATATTTTTGATTGATCTAAGATCTTTGACTTTCCTAGGCTCAAGGTTACCAGTTCCAAGAATTAATTCGGGAAAAATATAGTTGAAAATAAGACAACTTGTATTTTTTTTTTTTTTATATACATTAATTCTGTAGGATTCCTGTTATTTTTCTAATTGGTGTAATATGTCAAATCGTTTTATTCGTTTTCCAACCATAAAATTTATTTATTTATTTATTTTTTTCCTTTATAGAAAAGTATAAAAAAAAAAACATTTAAAAACTTAAAATAGGCATTTAAAAAAGATAATAACTCACGTTTATATTATTAAACTTTAATATTTGTTGTTTCCCTTCTAAATCTAGAAAATAAAAGTCCAATCTTTGTTTTTTTGGAAAGAGATTAATACCAAATTGCGGTTTTCTTAGAATATCGTTTATACGAATTAACGACCAAGGATCTTTACGTCCATTCCTTTTCTTAAAAGTAGCAACGAAAGAAAATGCATCTGGTAAACCAATAGGAAAAATCGACCTAAAATAAACAATAAAATAGACGATATCTTATGTTTAGAATTAAATAATAATAATAAATAATAATAATAATACCTTGTGGGAAGAGTCAGATCAGCTTTTTTATTAAGTCTATAAGCAGTCTGCATTTTATTAGAACCGCGTACACTTTTGACTCCTCTGATATTTAATTGAATATCGTCTAAATTAAACTTTCTGATAAAATCAAAAGCTAAAAAAGATTTAAAATTGAATATCATTATTAATTCCCAATGATAATTTTAATATTAATAAATAATTACCTGGAAGATCGTCATCTCCTGGACTAAATTCTCGACAAATTTCACTTAATCCTACACTTACATCCTCTAAAATTAATAAAATAATAAGTGTAAAATCGAAAAAAAAAATTTATTAGTTTAGTTTAAAAAACACACACACACACATACAATTTATTTTTTTTTTAATTTATAATCTTAAAAACGCCAAAAAATTAATTTAAAATTCATGTTAGATACATTTATCTTTCTTTTTGCATAGTTTAAAAAATAAATATTCAGTAAATCACGTTGTCATATTTCAAATAGGACATGTTTTTATAGTAAATACAATACAACAACGCCTTGTAAAATATTAAATAAATAGAAAAAAACTCATTATAATTCTCAGTAAAACATTAATAAAAAAATTATATATTTTATTATTATGATAAATAAATTGTTAAATTTTTGTAAAATACACAAGAGTTTTTTAATGATAAATTACTGAACGTAGGAGTATTCATTGTAAAAATACATATAGAATTTGTACGTATAATTTTCTTAATTAAAGCAATATTATATTGACAATCGAAAGATAATTGTTATCTTTATCTGGTGTCTATTAAATAGATAAATTAAACCACAGAAATGACTCAATACAATAGAATATTTATTGTTATTAAAAAACTGGTGTTCAAATTAAAATTTTTCCAGTGAATATTATCTCTATCAGTTATCAAAACGTCTGTGCAATTGTGAACAAGTACGCTATTAAATCAATCTGAATAACAAGGTCGTACATGAGTTATGCTGATCCTAGGGAAGGGAGTGATTCTTTTACGGACGTGTCTCGATGAACCAATGAAGGTAGTGTGATGGCCACGTGGCTTAAAGGTCTCCATTCGCTAAATTTTAAGGGACAAGGTTAGTGACGTCACTGGAAGAAGTATGCGACCAGTCGCCGCCTGGTTTCCTGTGGGAGGCCCGAAACTATGGCTCTAGCGACAACAGTTCGTTTTATGGATGTAATTAAAGAGATATCGTCTGGAATTCTTTTTGTATTAAAGATTGGAATTTGAAAGAAGAGGAAGTCAGCAAATTATGCACACATCGATAATTAAGATGCATTTTTCTTTTTTCCTAGTTAAAAATGTATTCTACTTCCTATAGAGATACTTCGTTAGGAAGCGCTTTTTCTTATTTATTTATAGAAATTTTTATATACTTTAAAACATATAAAATAGTTAATAATATAATTAAAATGCAGAAATGATATAAATATAAACTACGATAAATTTTCTTACGTTTTTTAGTGTTTAAAATAATGATAATTTAAAAAAACAAAACAAAATTTAAGCTGATAAATACTCTTTCCCGCTCATCTCTAAAGTATTGCAGGGAATTCGGACTTGAAATACATCAGGATTATACTATTCATTCATTAGATTTAAATATAAATAATGAAGAAATATACTATGACAATATTACCCGGAAGTATCGCGTCGTGTTGTTTTAACAAGGGTGGGTCCTACTTCACTTTGTCATGAAGATTCATCGTCTTCGGAACAGCAGTAAAAGTTAAAAATAACATTTAGGAGGAATCTTTTCTGTTAGTATGGAACTTTAGAATTTAAAGAACGATGTTACCATGCAGTTTTACACGAAATACGATACCAAAGAATGTCTTTGTTACGACTCGAAAACAATAGTCGCAAAGTGATTACATTAATAAGTTGTTACAACGTAAATAAGTTTAGGAATTTCATTAGAAAATAAATATTATTTACAAAGATAAATTCTCTGGCATAAATTTTAATAATAAATCTTTTTGTGATTACACATTTACGACTTATTTTTATGTTTCTTAGAGTTTTGATAAGACTAAATGTTTTGATGCTTAATATGGTTTCGAAGAATTACTAGGGTGAGCCAGATACCGGAAATACGTCATTTGACTCAATTAACCCCCTATGAAGAAAAATAATCGCTTATACATGCCATACTTTTATTATAATTATGGATTTTGATGGCTTTTAAAGATTAGTTTTTGGTGTTTTTTTCATACTTACGTGCTCCCGTTAAACGTTGTAAATGGACTAGCAGAACATACATTAGGATTGATCTGGAAAAAAAAAGAATATATATATTCTACGTTATCGCTAAAATATCAGAGAAATAACATAAAACTTAAATATGTTGCAACCTAATTACTGTCGTTGACCTTCGGTGTAGTTTTGTACTGAGGAATGACGCATGGAATATTTTTGCGAAAGAATTAGGAAGTTTTATTTGATATACGAGAACAAAAGCATTTGTAAACAGTTTAGAAAATCTATTAAAGCATTTAATTAACTACATAAATAGTTTAATTCTTCATATAATTCAACAAAACATAAGGGTAAAATTCCAACAGAGAAAAAAGAGGAAGAATTGAAAATGAGAAGCTCTTTAACTTGTCAACACCAAGTATGCAATAGATTTGAGGGGCATTAATAGATTGTAAGAATGATGATTGAATGTATAAAATAGCAAAACACCGAGAGAAGACCGGAAGAGGATGAGGGGAACAAATTACAGAGGACATTGATGAAAGAGGGACCAAAAAAAAAAAAAAAAAAANACGGAATAATCAATAGTGTTATAGGGGGGTGTACTAGAAGAATTTTTCGTAATTCGCTCTATTTCTATGACTAAATTCGTACGGGGGAAAGAAAAAAATATATATGAGAATAAAGTTAATATATAAATAAATAAATAAATAAAATGAATGCCTGACAAGACATTTTTGATTGACTTATGAATATTTGACCCTGGAGTGTCTTTTCTTCAGTTGAGACGTTCGAATGGCTGAGTATGATGAACAATGTTTCATTTTAAAGCAGCTGGGAAGCATACTGTAACATATTTTTGATTGATCTAAGATCTTTGACTTTCCTAGGCTCAAGGTTACCAGTTCCAAGAATTAATTCGGGAAAAATATAGTTGAAAATAAGACAACTTGTATTTTTTTTTTTTTTATATACATTAATTCTGTAGGATTCCTGTTATTTTTCTAATTGGTGTAATATGTCAAATCGTTTTTTTCCTTTATAGAAAAGTATAAAAAAAAAAACATTTAAAAACTTAAAATAGGCATTTAAAAAAGATAATAACTCACGTTTATATTATTAAACTTTAATATTTGTTGTTTCCCTTCTAAATCTAGAAAATAAAAGTCCAATCTTTGTTTTTTTGGAAAGAGATTAATACCAAATTGCGGTTTTCTTAGAATATCGTTTATACGAATTAACGACCAAGGATCTTTACGTCCATTCCTTTTCTTAAAAGTAGCAACGAAAGAAAATGCATCTGGTAAACCAATAGGAAAAATCGACCTAAAATAAACAATAAAATAGACAAAATCTTATGTTTAGAATTAAATAATAATAATAAATAATAATAATAAATTCATCTTAAATCAAAACGTACAAAAAGGATAATCGAAATCGTGCACACGTGGTTCATATCAGTTATAAAGTATTACAAGGCTATAAGCAGCATGTAGATTTGATTGTAAATTACTTTCTAAGATGATAAACGATATCTTTATATCTTAAAAAAAAAAATCATAAGTTACCGCCTTGCTTCTAGTTCTATTACATTTAAATTTTTGGCAATAAGGATGTTAGAAAAATACAATTACCGTATTTACTAGTAAAAGAAGCGGCGGTAGTTAATTTAGAAAGAAAAGAAGTCTGGCAAATGATATATGGCTCATAAAAAGAATTTTCGGCATAAGTATGGCTATATAAACAGATTAAAGACAATACAATACACACATAGATCATCCATTGCGAGGAATTAAGATGGCGGCATTGTTCGTTTCATCTGTAAAACAAAAGAAGTGGAAAAAATGTTTTTGTCGAATATAATTGATGAAAAGTGATACGAATAAAGTTTTATATAGTATTTAATGTGTCATCATTAATCATTCCTTAGCATCCGTGCATGCTTTTATTTGCACAGCTTGACTTCAATGAAAGGAATTTACTTCGATGTAATTCTCTTAATAGAGAAATACGAATAAATATAGATTTTTTTTTTTAAGTCAGATCATCTGTTAAAGTATTTTATACAGTTTTAAGAGCGTAATAAATTTTTATTACATATTTTTATACATTTAATATAGGAAGGAAAGTATATAGCTCATAAGCTCGTGTAGTCCAATATCAACTCACTTTAGTATGAAATTCTATAATGGATAAACAAACATGCAATGAGTTAAATTAATAAAAAGTGATACAAATATATATTTAAACTATAAAATATAACTTTAGACGTGAAAACATGATGATTATTTTAAGTTTAATGAGTAAAATGTCATATTACAAACCTCTATAGAACACTAGAGAACTCTAATATGTAATCCATATATTAGATATTGAAAACTAACTAAAACCAAAAGAAAATAAGGAGTATTTGGCACTAGTAAAATATAGATTAGCATGTATTCAGATTTTACACAGAATGATTTAACCAAGGAGTCAACAAGCCTACAAGTATCATGTTTTCAATTGAGCTTCTTAACTTTATCCAGGAAATAGTCAATTTTAATATATTTAAATAAATAAATGGCTTCGTAATAAACAAAAATATTCAAATAAACTCTATGTTATGCTGATTTTTAAAATGACATTCACAAAAAATAGTTTATTCCTGTTATACTTATCCAACAAAATACATCGATTAAATAATATACTTTATTATATACAAATACTTACATAGAGTTACTAGCTAAGAAACTTATTTATTTTGTTTAAAAATAAATTAGAGTACGCTTTAAAGTATTGCTTAAACCTTTAAAATAGTTGGTAAATTATCAGTCATTATAAATAATACAGCAATAGCATTAATTGTATACAGTCGACCCCCTATAACACTTTTGATTTTTCCGTTTTATATGAATTCCATGTTGTACGAGTCACTTAGGTTTTACAAATACGTGAGCCGTTCACAGCCCGGTACACGTATTTGTAAAATCTAAGTGACTCGTACAACATGGAATTCATATAAAACGGAATAATCAA